TTAATATGTGCCCGAAATGAAAAAGAGCTTCAGTACACTGTGCAAATTGACAGAACTCATTGAAAATAAAGAAAAACTTTGCAGAGGTGGGTACTTTGTAATAGTTTTAAAAACTTCGTTGATTTACATCAAGACACTTCATTAAACTTAACTTTTATGAAGTTTCTTGATATAAATCCTCTTGTTTTATAATGCGCTTATTTTTACAGGCTCATTTTCTGTAGCTTTGCGGAGCCGATATTCTTTGTTTAGATCACAAAATTACTTAAAACTAACGTTAGTAAAGCGGGGGCTCGCGGCTGTCTCGAGGTTAGGGGTAATAAATTGTAACAAATGGATGGCAGGGTAGGCATTGAGAACACAAGGTTTGGAGAGCAATGTGCTCTTGATCTCGAACTAAGCGACATACTGCTCTCCGTACCTTAGTAACAAAAATTGAAAAATCTCGTTCAGTTAAAGAAATTGCACTCTGCTCTTTCTTGGATATTGAAGGAGCTTTTGATAACGCATCCTATTCCTCTATGGTTTACGCCATGAAGGCAAGGCAACGAAAGGTTGTCCTCAAGGAGGAGTTCTTTCACCACTGCTGTGGTCTTTAGTTGTAGATGATCTTCTAAGAAGCCTGGAAGCAAAAGGTTTCGAAGTTGTGAGCTTTGCGGATGACATAGTCATTATAGTAAGAGGAAAGTTAGACGTTATCATTTCTGATCCATCAAAAGTCGTAATCATCCCCTTTACTAGAAAGAGGAAGATTAACCTAAATATACTTAAATATATATCCAAATACCTAGGAGTTATTTTGGACGTCAAGTTGAATTGGAATGCTCAGCTTGGTTCTGTGATTAACAAAGCAACCAGTGCCCTGTGGGCATGCTACAAAACTATTGGAAGAAAGTGGGGTTTGAAACCAAAAATGACAATGTGGATTTACACATCAATAATCCGTCCGAAAGTAGCGTATGCTTCGTTAGTGTGGTGGCCAAAATCAAAAGAGGCTACTGCACAGAGGAAACTAGCAAAACTTCAACGTCTAGCATGCATTGGAATAACGGGTGCGGTGCGTAGCACCCCATCAAAGGCATTAGAAGCAATCCCCAATCTGCTGCCCTTGCATGAACATTAGACTAATGCAAAATTTGACTTTTTCGCTCCACAGTGCTTAAATGGTTTCAAATCGGGTCGTGATTAGCCTCCAAAAGTTACAACTCATTTGGTTAGAAATAGACTTCGCACAAACCATTTGAAGTTTACATGTAAATTACTATGGGAAATCTCAACTTTTTGTTCATTGCCTTCTAGTCTTTTTCCATATTGAGCTGCAAAACAGTTTGATAGCTATTCTTATAGAAAATTTTCTCAGCTACAACTTTGCTGAAAATTGTTTCTATGTAAAACGAGACAGGAAATAGTTATTAATTATTTAAGAGATTTGTAAACTTATGACATGATCAAGCAGCTGCTCTGTAGGCAACACTGTATTTTGCAGTGTGACATAGTAGCCATGATTTTTGTGTCCTATTCAACGCCCCAGAAACACCAATGTTGCCTGCTGAGCAGTTGATTGAGCATGATCATAAGACATCAGCGCATTGAACCATTTATAACTTTCGATCCTTGCATTTAATCAAAATGTGATCTTCAGCAAAGTTGTAGCTGGGAAAATTTCCTACAAGTACAGTGAAAGTTTTTGAAGCAGGCCGATATGGTGAATTATTAGATAGACATGAACAAAAATCTTGGTTTTACCATAGTAATTCCCATACAAACTTCAAATGGTTTGTGCCATCTCAGTTTCTCACCAAATGGGTTCAAATTTTGAGAGGTTAGTCAGGATCCGATTTGGAATCGTTTAAGTATTGTGGAGCGAAAATTTCAAATTTTGCATCACTCTAATGAACATGTGCAACTAGAAGCATAAAGAAGTGCTGGTCTTGTTGGTCATCTAATCACAAAGCTCCTTCAATTTGCACAGTTCACTGAAGCTCTACAACTCGTTCTGCAATCCATGAGCTTCAACTAAGTTTCACAAAGTTTTCTGAACTTCTGCTAAATTTAATAAAACTATCTGCACTGCAACGATTTTTAAGTTATACGAGGTTCGTTGAGCCTTTACAATGTAAGCTGAACTCCTAAGAGTTCCCTGAGCTTCAATGAAGATTCCTGAACATCTACACCGTTCCCTGACCTTTGAAATCTAAAATCAAATGATACTCTCTTAACCTTTACGTATTTTCCTTGATTCCTATGAAGCTTTCGTGACTTCCCTGAACTTCTGTAAAGATTCGATTTAACAACATCATCGGGTAGGGGCAACCATCACCTTTCCGAAAGTGGTTTGCGTGGGCGTACTTTGGTTCGCGTGTAAAGGACGTTAGAAAGTTTGTTTACAAATGCTTTTGTGCCGTTATCAAATGTTATGCCTGACATTAAGAGACCCCAAGTGCCTGAAACTAAGACTTTTTATGATTCTCTATCCCTGACCAAAGAAAATTACGTCGGTTAAATAAGTGTTTCACATTTGAAATATAAAAATCAGTTTGATATACAAGTAGAGCAAAGCTTAGTAGTGAAGCCTATTCTGCGCCGCGAGTGAGGTGAGGTGACTCGCTGTCACTAGTGAGGTGATTCTCCATTTGATTTATACGGAGAGTCACCTCACTCGCGGCGCAGAATAAGGGGGAGTATGTATTTTGAGAATGCAACGAAATTCACGGTAGTTTTCCGACTGACTTCAATTCCCGATTCATATTTCCTGGTTGAGTGGCTACCCTAAATTAGTTCCGATCTCCAAACCTAAATTCAAACAATTAAATGCATTAAAATTAAAACCAACCACCGTGGTCATGGCCTTGAATTCCATTTCTATTGGTCCATATAAGTCTAAGTGTTATATCCGTAATCAAGGCCAACAAGTAAAACTAGGTGTTGTTAGAAGCTACTGTTTATTACGTCTAAGTTGGTTGATGGTTGGAATACGAATGACAACCTTTCTACTATCATTCAGGCATGGCCTACTACATCTCCCCATTTAGAAAATATTAAAGAGGGTTTAGTATAAGAGAGGAGCGGATTGGCTGGTTTTGAGCCAAACGAACTGTCAAAGCCAGAGCTAATCGAGCAGCGCCTATCTTGATTGCATTGGCAGTGTTGCTAGAATTCACCTCAGCATAGGTTGCTAAGGCAGTTTGTTTTGAATCCGCTCCTCTCTTATACTAGACCCTCTCTAGAAAATATCATAGGAAGAGAGCTATCTTGGAATTCTTGATTCACGTACGGAACGTCGTAGGAATTCTCCAACTGGTTCAGATGGCACGGGTATTTGTGAGGACTGCATTTCGAGCAGCAGCTTCATGAATGACCATCGGATTCGTGCCGGATGTACTTGCTACTGGATCATCAGCTTCGAGTGACATGGAACCAACAGGAATAGGAACATCGGGATTGACGGACACTTCTGGATCATTCGGTACAGCTATGGCATCTTGAACCTCATCGCATACTCATGGTAGCTGCTGCGTCGATTGCTCTGGGATATCAGAGTTGTGACGAGGGCGCATTTGGTTGACATGCGACCTCACCAGCTTCGGTCTTCCGTTTATCTCCAGGGAAACGATATAGTTGACAGAACCTTTCCTAGAACACTACGTTGAGAGCAGGCGAAACTCATATAAGAACATCAAAACCGGGAAAAAGATGTTTGAAATAATGTCTGAAAACTGTGCCAAAGGCTTTCTTGACCAGTTATCCGATAGGCACAACTAATTAATTTAAAAGTGGTGTTGAAGCTTAAAAATCAAAAAAAAAGGTTGAGACAATAAAGAAATAATCAAGTATTGGAAATTGAGATTCCAGAAAGTCCGAATCGAATTCGACAGTGAGCTTTCATAAGGCCGCAAGTCTCAAACGTACTCTTTTTTTCCTCAAATTTCTCGAGGATGAGAAAAACTCACCCAAGCAAACCAACGAGATATTTGTATACGGAAAGATTTGCTATTTTCGAAAGGATTCGTGACTCAAGGATAAACTACCTTAAAGCATTCAAGTCAATTTAACCATTACATTTAATTCAATCTCATAGATTAGATAAACATACGCACTAAGTCTTATCAAAAACTTCTCCCAACACTTTTGACCACACTTCATCACCCATCTTCCCACCGTGCCCTCTGAACACCAATACATTGCGTGACGTCACAGTCCATTCGTGTGCGATTTGCGATTCGATGGTGTTGTCTCGCACTTCTATAGGTACACGAACTGTCAAACTTTTCGTCCACGTCCTAAATTTTCCCTGCACTGGTTCTGCCCACGGTCCCATCCGGACACTGTCCTTAGCCACTTTCCCACTGCAGGAATCACCCCCAGCAACGTAGCCATCCTCTCGATCCCACCCATCGAAGAAAATCTTATTTTCATCTTCACTAAACGAGAATCTTTCGCGGATCTGACATTTGCCTAACCTAGAAAATAATAGAAAAAGAGAATGCACAAAAACCAAACCGAGTCTCGCTCGGTTCCCTCGGTCGCAATCCCCGAATGTAAATCGCGTCGATGACCCGCAAACTTCCGGGCGGAGAATTGCGATTCACCCGCAAACACCAGACAAACCGGAAGTGGCGAAAAAAAAATTCCCTTACGAAAGATCCTCCCGACCACCCCCGAAAGGGGAACCAGAGGAGCAGCAAGAAGAAAAAGCCATCGGCACACATTCTCGCAGTTCGCATTTATCAGAGCCAGGAAGGTCCAATCCGCACCAAGAAGTAGCCCCCGTGTGTAGTCTTGGTCTTCGTCGTCACACTAGTTTCTTGTCCACCACGCACACATACATACACCCAAGGCGGGTGCTCGATGAGGAAGAACAAGGAGGTAATGGAAGCACAGCAGTCGTAGAAAATTTTTCTCCTCGCAGCTCTTGGCTGACTGACTGTGGCTGGCTGCCTTTTCGGAAGCACCGTCCATTTTCGCGATCAATTTGGGCAAGTTTTGCGACCGCCGCTTACCTGAATTCCACGCGTAAACTATGCACCGCTCGCTGGAGAACACTTTCCGTACGGAATCGCACCCGTTTGATCGGTCGCACTACCGAGAAAATCGGAATAATATTTCGGAATTAAACCCCGAGGAGAGCCAAAATACCGCCGCCTGCGTGTTTGAGAGACAACAAAAACACCATGAATGGAAAATTTAGTACTAACGTTGGACGGAGAAGTCGCGAGTCTCGAAGCTGGCGAGTTTTTGATCAGGTTTTGATGGTGCGGGAGAGCGCCGAGAGCAATTTCGGAAGATTTTCTCTCGCCCTCTCCGGGATGGGGTGCAGGAAAGTGGTTGTACGAAAAAATGGTGATGGCGTCGTGATTTGACAACTGTCAACGGGAGAGCGGTACGAGGGGCTGAAGATTTTCAATACAGTCAACTCATTCTAAATCGATATTGCCTATTAAGAAAAAAAAACTGCCACGTTTAGGGAAGATGCATAAATGACGTAGCATTTTAGGGGGACCAGCCATGTAGAATAATACGCAACAAGAGGAAGATATAATAAATTTAGAGCTTCATGAAAAGTAAACAATCGTTAAACATTTCAAGCATAACTTTTCAAAAGGACGCAAGTCGCAAAAATAAACAAATCGATATTTTGCATCTAACCGAATATAAAATACATGCTTTTCCTACGAGTTAATGAAAAACAAGGTTTGAAATTGTAATGCATTATGGAAAATATATTCAATGAACGCCCTATGTGACCTTCTTTCATTGTTTTTTAAAATGGTATTGATACACCATTTTATTGTCAACATGACTTAACTGTTAAAATTTGATGATAACACAAAAACTGCAGATACGCTCACAGTGAAGCGTCGTATGTGAAAAAATAAAGCAACCACTATCAATCAGCAAATGCGTCAAGTTTGTATGTTTGTTTTTGTATTTGCGGGTGCAACATGTTTATTATTTCAAAAGTATTCTAATAAAATTGCACTTTAATCTTGACTTTAATATTTAACTTCACATACCAATCTGACCAGCGCTTTCTTAATACGAAAAACACAAAACGTATAACATCTGACTGCAAATAATGCGGTGACCCTCTCATCTCCGCTTTTAACATCGATTATTTCACAACTCTGGGTAGTTATGTAAATAAACCAACCAACCGACAATTCTTGAATGCTTTTCGAGCTGCCGACGTATCTTCACTGCAAAACAAAAACCGGTGTATCTGATTTGACGTATGTGAAAACCTTTCTGTCAAATAGACGAATCATGCAGGGTGTATGTAACAATCAAGGTGTGATACCGACGAATCAATCAGGGTGTATGTGAGTAGTACACAAGTAAAAGGTGTATGATTTTGTTTTATCAAAAGTCTTGTCCGTGTTTGCAAAACTCGACATTTTTCACAATTCTTTTAAACGCTATCCCTTTATCCAACGAATAGCATAAACAGATTAAAAAAAATAGCATTAACTTTTAAATAGCATTTAATAATCTCATATAGACATTGTTATCCAATGTTTCTAATTTCCTATCCAATGTTACATACGTCCTTTTGAAAAGTTATGCTTGATTTGTTTAAGCACCAATCAAGGGGCTGCACATAGAACAAACATTGTTGCTATACAAAATTCTAATTGCGAGTGCATCCAACAACAGCAAAACAAAATCATTCCTGCATTTTAGATAGAGTCAACCATCTTGGCCCAATCATAATTAAAAATATAAATAAACTTCAATAAATTGAATTAAATAAAACTGTGGTTCATTTTATTAAAGCATAACACAATTGAAGAATCAAAGTGACGATTGACTCACAGATGGCGAGCGGGTATAATGTTTTTTTTTGGCACATCATCATTTTTGTAATTGCGGATCTTATTTTTTGTAATTGCGGCGTTATTTTTTGACTAGCTACGAGTAACTCACAGTTACTCAATGTTAATATATTAACTCAGAGTACAGTTGTCAATCCTTAACTGCACATTTCCCATGCGAGAGCATCTCAACCTTGTACCACTCTGGACTGTAGCCACATTTACCTGTTGCCTAACTCCCACAGCTCGTTGAAAATTTGCATTTCGCGCAACATGTGGTTCAAAGCTCCACTGTCCAGGGTCATTGAATGATTGGGAATCCCCACTGGTAGTTTATTGATCCTGGATCCTAGGAATGATCGGACTGGAGCGTAGTACTGCCTCTCCTGTTCTTGCCTGATGAATATGGCATCCCTTAAATTTGCACTAAATGGCAAGCCTGCCTCATGGCGCAAATGTCCGAGTCTTGGTAGATCCAGTCGGGCCAACGGTAGAGACACCTTGAACTGACCGTTCTGCCGTTCCACCTCCACGGTATCGGTGGTCTCGGTCGATAGTTTCGCTTTGGCCAACGCTGCCAACAAAGCTACATTAGCCTTATCTCCCCTTTTCTTGTACTTTTCAGCCAAGCAGATCCTCTTCACGTGGCCCATCTTGCCGCAGCCATAGCACCTGCAGTTCGTAAAATCCCGTTTGATGTTGGGTTGTTTACGATTTGTATTTCTTCGTCCAACGAAAGCAACCTGTTTGCGCTCCATGTTTTCCGCGCCTCGGTCCGTAAAGGATGACGATTTATCTGCGTCAAGAAAAAATCGTGTTACTTGATCTAATGACATTTGGTTTAGATCATCCTTTCGGATGACAGAGAGGGCACCAATTAGGTGATTGAACTGTTCAGGAATAGCAACTAATAATGTATTTAGCTGAACCGCTTGTGAAATGACCTGACCCATACAGTTCAATCAACCAGTGGAAACTATCAATTTTATATTGGCTCACTACTTGACTAGCCAATTGGTCCCACGCAAATCGATTAACGTACCCCATTCTAGTCAAAAATCTAGTACTACACAATGTTTGCTTTGATTCACTATGAAAGTTTGACAGATAAAATGAGGGGTTCGTGGATTTTCCTTGGGACCGAAGATAGTATCAGCTAAAGAGCCTGAATTTATAAAGAGACGACATGTCAAAATTGGAACTATCGATTGTCTGTCAAAGTCATAGGAAAAGTCATTCCATTCGAGCAGAAGACCTGTCAAATGGATAAGATGCCGACTCTTTATAAATTCAGGCTCTTTAGTACCAGCAACAATCAATTCGAAACTATCGATTTTTAATTGGCTCACTACTTGACTAGCCTATTGGTCCCAAGCAAACGATTAACGTACCCCATTCTAGTCGAAATTCTAGTACTACGCAATGTTTGTTTTGATTCGCTTTGAAAGTTTTACAGATAAAATTAGGGGTTATTGGTTTTTCCTATGTTTCGAGGGGTGAATCGATTAGCTTGGGACCAGAGCTGAGCCAAAAAGTTGAGCACGTTATTTCGGGACCTTCTAGTCTTAGAGTTACCTCTATGGTAGTACCATAGAGGTAACTCTAAGACCAGAAGGTCCCGAAGAAACGAGCTAAACTTTTTGGCTCAGCTCTGGTCCCAAGCTAATCGATTCACCCCTCGAAACATAGGAAAAACCAATAACCCCTAATTTTATCTGTCAAACTTTCATAGCGAATCAAAACAAACATTGCGTAGTACTAGAATTTCGACTAGAATAGGGTACGTTAATCGTTTGCTTGGGACCAATAGGCTACTAAAGTAGTGAGCCAATTTAAAATCGTTAGTTTCGTATTGATTGTTGGTAGTACTGCCTCTCCTGTTCTTGCCTGATGAATATGACATCCCTTAAATTTGCACTAAATGGCAAGCCTGCCTCATGGCGCAAATGTCCGAGTCTTGGTAGATCCACTCGGGCCAACGGTAGAGACACCTTGAACTGACCGTTCTGCCGTTCCACCTCCACGGTATCGGTGGTCTCGGTCGATAGTTTCGCTTTGGCCAACGCTGCCAACAAAGCTACATTAGCCTTATCTCCCCTTTTCTTGTACTTTTCAGCCAAGCAGATCCTCTTCACGTGGCCCATCTTGCCGCAGCCATAGCACCTGCAGTTCGTAAAATCCCGTTTGATGTTGGGTTGTTTGCGATTTGTATTTCTTCGTCCAACGAAAGCAACCTGTTTGCGCTCCATGTTTTCCGCGCCTCGGTCCGTAAAGGATGGCGATTTATCTGCGTTAAGAAAAAAATCGTGTTACTTGATCTAATGACATTTGGTTTAGATCATTCTTTCGGATGACAGAGAGGGCACCAATTAGGTGATTGAACCATAGAGGTAACTCTAAGACCAGAAGGTACCGAAGAAACGTGCTCAACTTTTTGGCTCAGCTCTGGTACTCTCTTCGGTCCCAAGCTAATCGATTCACCCCTCGAAACATAGGAAAATCCACTAACCCCTAATTTTATCTGTCAAACTTTCATAGCGAATCAAAACAAACCTTGTGTAGTACTAGAATTTCGACTAGAATGGGATACGTTAATCGTTTGCTTGGGACCAATAGGCTAGTCAAGTAGTGAGCCAATTTAAAATCGTTAGTTTCGTATTGATTGTTGATTGAACTGTTCAGGAATAGCAGCAATGACCTGACCCATACAGTTCAATCAACCGGTGGAAACTATCGATTTTATATTGGCTCACTACTTGACTAGCCTATTGGTCCCAAGCAAATCGATTAACGTACCCAATTCTGGTCAAAATTCCAGTACTACACTATGTTTGTTTTGATTTGCCATAAAAGTTTGACAGATAAAATGAGGGGCTCGTGGATTTTCCTATGTTTCGAAGGGTGAGTGAGCGCTCAACTTCCGAGCTGAACAGATGTATTTTTGCTACAGTTCTGTGGAAGTCGAACACAAGCTAATTACCAGTGCCAACTGTGTTTTTTTTTTTCTCTTTCTCCGCATCGCTGAGCCGTTACGTGTCGCTGCGCGTCTAAACGACTTCACGATGGGCCGTCGAGAAAACACCTTTCGCATAGATTTTGCGATCGTGCCGAAGAAACCGGACAATGCCAAAGTTCACAAATTCCGTGCGACCATATTGGGTCTGAAGCAAGGCTACACATCCAGAACAGCAGAACCCTCGGAGTTTGTTTCGTGAAAGTCTTCGATCTAGCGTTGCCACTATGGGCAAAAATGGATCCAAAATTACCCAAAATTCAATATCTCAACAGCACGCTGAATTCCGGCCATGAAAAACGACTTTTCCGAAGGGAAATCGTCCGGGGAATCGATTGCACGTGATCCCATGGACCGGAGAGCCTTG